AATTCATTTCGGCCTGTTATCTGATAAATTACCAATGCCGGTAATTGAGTCTCATTTGACCAACCGACCAACTTTATGCCTTTCATAGGGCCCCAAATAAAATATCCACCACCATATAAATATTATCTAGACCAAGATGAATTTAATATGTGGTCCCGGAAATATCGGGTGGTCCCCGTTCCCGGTGAGGGTCCCGCGTGAATTTACTATTCACGCAAAAAAAGTAATAACAAAATTTACAACCTCGTAAATTCATTAACCATTCCATAAGGTTTAATACATTATTTACATAACAGTAAACATACTTAGAAATTTGCTATTGGTACCCCCAAAAATTACCCCATCTTTACCCCATATAAATACCTCCCCCACTTTTCTCCTCCCCTTCCTCCTCCCTCCCCCACTTTTCTTCCCCCCTCCCCCTCTCCCCTGGTTCTTCGTTCCTTTCACACAGCCCATCCCTTCCCTTTTCTCTTTTACTTTTCTCCATTTCAAGATCTCTCCATTTCTTAAATGTTTCTCATTTTTACCATCTTTTCCTCCTTCAACCTTCTTCTCCTACTTCTCTCGTCTTCCGCCTTTTTTTCCATTTCAAATGGCGGAGCTATAGTAATCGGACAAATGGGGAGAGCTAGGTGAACAAGAAGGAACAACGAAAGGTGTAGACCAAGAAGTTTAGAGCAGATCTTACTTTCTTGATTTTTTGTTCTTGATTTTGTTTTCTTGTTTTTTTGGGTGTGTTTTCAAAATAAAAAGGGATGTTTGTCTGACAGACAACTTGTAAGTGCAGTGTCTGTATTTGTTAGTAAGACTCGTGAAGTTGACTGTCATATGAAAACTAAATGTCTGTAATTGATATGTAATTGTCTGTCATTTGCTTGTAAGTTGTCTGTATTTTTTGAGTTGTCTGTCATGTTGTTGTGAAGAGTCTGTAAGAGTCGTGAAGTTGTCTGTCTGTCTGTCTGTAATTGATGGTTAATTGTTTGTCAGTTGTTTTGAGTTGTCTGTATTTGTTTTGATTTGTCTGTATTTGATTGTGAACTGTATCTAATTACTTTATTTAATTGAGATGTAATTAGTCTAACGAGACAGACATTAAATATACACATACAAACATTATTTTATTGTGAATTACCATATTGGCATATGTTTCATATAAAGACAGACAATATGTATTCCTAGACAGACAATAGAGATAACCAGACAGACATTAATTTTCACCACAAATTTCATACAACTCAAAATGAAATGACAAACAACTAAATATCAATTACAGACAACTTCACGACTCTTACAGACAAATACAAATACAAACTACTAATAAACAAATGACAAACAATCAAATATCAATTACAGACATTATTTTTCAAATGACAGACAACTTCAAGACTCTTACAGACACTGCACTTACAAGTTGTCTGTCAGACAGACAACATTTTTTATTTCGAAAATACATCAAAAATCAAGAAAACAAAATCCAGAAAAGAAGATTTGCTACTCAAGTTATTCAAAGCTTCTTGATTTGCCTTCATTGTTGTCTTCCCTTGAGGTTGCATCCGAAATGGCAACTGGAGTAGGCCGGCTGTCGGCAACCGGCGTAGGGCTGCCGTCGGCAACGTCACCGGTGGAAGAGGAGATAAGCAGGAGAAGATCGAAGGTTGGATGGGGGAAAGATGGTAAAAATTGGAAGTCTTAAAGAAGGAGAAAGATATTGAAAAGGAGAAGGTTTTCAAAAAAAATTGAAATGGAGAAGAAAGGGGAAGGGAGGGGGGTGCGTGAAAAAGAGGAGGGGAGGGAGGAAGAGAGAAGGAGAGAGGGAGGGAGGGGAGAGAAAAAGTGGGGGAGGGTGGAAAGAGAGAAGGAAAGTGGAGGAGGATTTTTATATGGGGTAAAAAATGGGGTAGATTTGAGGTACCTGTAGCAAAATTGACATACTTAAGGACGGTGTTACATCTTCATCTAAAGGAAAATGACTTTTTAAATTTACAATATCTATTATTTTGAAAAAAAGTAAATCTACTCTTATTGTTGCACAAAGCTCGATTAACAAGTTTTCTTTATATCTTATATTTCTTGTTGAGTATAATGAATGTGAAGACTTTGATATACTCCGATGGTGGAAGAGCCACGAAGGGACGTTCCTCATTTTATAAAAATGGTGAAAAACATGTTGTCAATGCCGGTTTCAAAGTTGTCGTGAAAGAAGAGTTTAGTGAAACCAGCAACTTGTTGACTGATTATAGAGCGAAACTGAGCGTACAATCTCTCCAAACGCTCATTTGCTTCCATGATTGATTGAAGGCCCCACCATAGAACACATGAAGTTAACATAGCATCAGACCGCCAAGAAAACGACAACCGACGCCTGAAGCGGTCCCGACGATTAGTTTATGATTTCATCACTTCATTTATTCAAAGTTTTAATTATTCTCAATTGTAATGCTCTAAGCACGGACCGGCCCAAAACCTGACCGAGACCGTATATAGGCGGGCCGGGTCCGTGCTTCAGTTTCAGAATCAGGACCGGACCTAGGTCCATCCCTAATGCGAGACAATGATACACGTGACCAATCTCCAAAACAAAAAAAACACGTACTTAAGGGCTCGTTCGGTATAGTTTTGAGTTTTCTGTTTTTGGTTTTTTAAAAACAAAAAACGGTTTTTAGTTTTCTATTCTCAGTTTTTTGAAATCGTTTTGTTTTAGTGCTAATTCATTTTCAGTTTTGTCATTCCAAGAAACAAATAATTATTGGTGGTCCGGTGGTGGCCGGTGGTGGTTCTGTGGTGGTGGTCGGTGGTTGTCCGGTGGTGGCCGGTGGTGGCCGGTGGTGGTTCGGTGGTGGCCGGTGGTGGCCAGTAGTGGCCGGTGGTGGCCGGTGGTGGTCCGGTGGTGGTCTTGTGGTGGTCGGTGGTGGTCCGGTGGTGGTCCGGTGGTGGTCCGGTGGTGGTCCGGTGGTGGCCGGTGGTGGCCGGTGGTGGCCGGTGGTGGCCCGGTGGTGGCCGGTGGTGGCCGGTGGTGGTCCAATGGTGGCCGGTGGTGGTCCGGTGGTGGCCGGTGGTGGTCCGGTGGTGGCCGGTGGTGGTCCGGTGGTGGTCCGGTGGTGGCCGGTGGTGGCCGGTGGTGGTCCGGTGGTGGCCGGTGGTGGTCCGGTGGTGGTCGGTTGTGTCCCGGTAGTTGGGTATTGAAGATAAATGATAACAAATTTATAGAAACTATGATTTGTGGATTTTAGAATTCTGTTTTCGTTTTCTAAAAACACTTACAAAGATTATAATTTTGGAAACAAAAACAACTTTTTACCAAACGTGTTTCTGTTTTTTTTCTAAATCATTTTATTCTATTTTGCATGGTTTCATACTTTCATCCCATGGTAATTGATCTGGGTAGGCGGTAGCCCTTTGAGATGCAATCCGCTCATAGGACTACTGATGGTCAAGTACCTCGAAGTAGAAGTGGGCAAACGAGTACATGTATCGCGGGTCAGACCAGGTAATACAGATCGGGCCCGGTTAGGGCATGGTCCTAATTCTGAAAACCCCCAAATGGGGTGGGGCAGGTCCTAAAAAACTCAGGAATCGTACGAGTATTAGAATTTGAAAAAAACAAGTACCCACCCCGACCGGTCTAAATTGGTTTTTAAGAAAGTCCATTATATTTAATATAATATACTAACAACACCCAAAATGTTTCATATTCGTGAATTATTAAAGATTTTCTATATACAAAAAACTTATGAATTATTATTCACAATTCTTTATTCCAAATGCATCAAAGTGTGATATATTAATTTAATTATCTTAATTTTATTTACATTTTGAGATTTATTAAGCTTTATATTGTTTTCTTAAAGATATATGAATAGTGACTAGTATAATTTCTTATGACTTTGTGGTGCTATCTTTTTAGATTATGAACTTTTAGGTTATGGATGATGATGTCTAATTTACTATATTTAAAAGTGTTGATGTTATTTAATTTGTGTAGTTTTTTTTGAAAGCATTAATTTGTGTAGTTGTGCGTTATTTAATTTATACATTTATGGTTAGATATTTTATTAACTAATTCAAAACTTTGTTTTATATTTTATTTTCAATTTTTACAATATTATGGTGACACTGATACTTAGAGCTCGTTTGGTAGCACGAAAATCGACTTATTTGGCCGATTTTGCTGAAACTTATGAAATTCTGACTGAAGTGGCTGCATTGACTGATTCTGCTGATTTAAGAAAAATATTTTGAAAATATATTTTATTAATGAAAAAGAAAAATTATTTGAAATAATAGCTAAAATGCCCATCTAAAATAACTTCAGTCAATGCAGCCAGAAAAGTAACTCCAACCTTACTTTTTCTGCTTATAAAACAATTCAGTGTGCGAAAACAAAAGTTACGTGTTTGGTGAAAAAGTTGGCTGATAAACCTGATAAACCAAAAAAACAGTGTTGCCAAACGGCCTCTTAACTACTTTGAAAATTTTATTACCTACTAGATCTTTTTTTAGTGTAGTACGGAGTAGTATTTTTTTAGAACAGAGAACCGGTCCAACCGACCTCTTTCAAACGGGGCGGGTAAGGTTTGGTTCCTATATTGAGACTTGATATACCCAAACTGAACCTACCCGTTAAATGAACCGACGTCCGACGATTCTTGAAAACTTACCAATTACCCGGACCAACCTGGATTGTGTCCACCCCTACACCTGGGAGGTCCCCACTTTGTTCATTTTAGTTCCTTTTTATTGTTCATTTTAGTATATTTATACAAAAAATAAAATGCAAGCTATGAGGAAGTCTTAATTAATGTTGGGGCATTTCACTATCCACTTCGACATCTTTCTTATCAATCAACACATAGACACTCTTTCTCTCCACCTCGACTGGGTACTTGGGTAGGAAACTAAAATCCATCGACCATTTATAATTTTATATAAGCTTTCAAATGATCAAAATGTCTATTATAAAAATATTTTAAAATATAACCAAAAAATCTTATTGGTCATGCAAATCAGCATCAAATGATGTCATAAAAGATATTCACGCGACATGATAAAAGTTAATAGAGGCAGTTAAAGTTGTTAATAGAGGAGTATATAACAAGGATTAACTTTAACATATTTCCAGTAAATCAACTACAATGAGTAAAGTTTTATAGTAGAAGGACCTCCTAGGTATTTTGGTAGACTACCAATCCAACATTGATGGTGTTACTTGAAGTATACCCCCACTTTTAACCCTCTGGTAGCATGGCAACATTTAAGAAAAAGAAACCAATCTGTCATTCATAATTCACCAGTAAGAATCTGATAAATATTTAACCAACAATTTTCCAGTCCTACAAGATGAAAGAGATTAATGTGAAAACAAATTAAATGGAGACTAATAGGTTGGTTTAATTTAACCTACAGGCTACAGCTAATTGATTCATCAAGCCCCCAAAGGTGCAAATTCAGCCCTTTTATCTTCCAAAATCTTTAACTCAGCATGCCATCCTTCCAATTTTGCCATCTTCTCCAACTGCTCTGGCTTCATATCCTTTTTATCATTTTTCTGCTGTTGGGCTTCTGTCAGCCGAATCTAAGAATACATATAGCAGAAAAGTAGCTTTCTTATATTGCAAGTTAAACCTCTTGGAGTAAAACGAAGGTTAAGACTATGGGTATGTTAGCCGACCCCAAGTTTTTTGGGACTAAGGCATGGATGTTGTATTTGATAAATTTAAAAATTTAAAAGAAGACAATAAATATGAAAAGGAAAAAAATAAAACATCTGATAAGCTTAAAAATCTAAGAGAAGAGAAAAAAGATGAAAAGGGAAAAAAAGTTAGCATACCTGTGAGGCTAGCGAGAGGAGCGGAAGAATGGAGGGGAAGATAGCAGAAGGTAGTGCAGGAATAGAGAAGAGTTTGATGAAGTCTGAGAACCATACACCATTAACACATACTCCCTCCGTCCCCTTTTAAATGTTCCTTTTTACCATATTGGGATGTCCCTATTTAATTGTCTCATACCTTATTTGGTAAAGTTTGTGTGGCTCAAAATCATTCTTACTTTATTCTTACTTAATTATTCTTACTTTATTTAGTAAATTCCAAGGAATTCTCAAATTTGATGCGGTTAGTTACCCGTATGTGATTTAATTCGGTAGGTTTCGGTTTCATGTCCCCCTACCTTGTACTTTTCTAATTTTCTAATAAACTGGTAAGGTGTTGCGCGCAAAAAAAAAAAATCAATTAATGTCAACCACACAAACCCACTTCTCTTAAAACTCGTGTCACCCTCTTTCGGGACATTTAAAAGGGGACGGAGGGAGTATAACACGTATGAAACTCTGGAAGTAGGGTTATGAAATGCGAATAGCCAGTCTGATATATGAGAAGTCGTCACTCATCTGAGAGGCACCGAGGCAGCTGCCACCAAGAAGCATTGAAAGCAGCAGTTGAAGGCCATCCTGGCTGGATCTACAGGAAATCTCAACCGTACGATGGCTGCCAATAACTCCCTCGATGCAATTGGGTATTCTCGATACCGGGTCAGGTTGGACGGATCAGCACGGCCTTGCCGGTGATAAGTTGAAGGACGGCTGTGCATGGCTGAGCACCGCCTTAGCTGCCGAATTATGACCTCCACAGTGAGAATACAATCTTGTGGGGCCCTTCAGTGACGGAACGCGGAAGCTATTGGGAGCCGACAGAGACACCCGCCGAACACAACTCATCTTGAAGGCGGTGAGCAGACAAATTGGGGAAGAAGAAAGAAAGGAGAAAAAAAGGGAGGAAAAAGATAAAGAAAATATGTGCCATGTGTTGCCACATGTCGCCACATATACATGTTTACCGGATAATTGGTGGTTGACCTATTAAAAAGCAGATTTGAACTTTTTTTGAAGTTGGGGTATTTAATCGGGTGATGTTTGAGTTGGTAGGCTTAATTGACATTTTTGTAATAGTAGAGGGTTTATTTGACACTTCTCCCTATATTATTATTATTATTACTACTATTATTAGTAATCATATATATGCTTTAGGTAGCTTCTTGCATTTATTGCCTTTATAATTATTCCTATTCTGCTTTAGGCAACTTCTTAATTAGCAATTACTTATAATTAGGACTCTTATAATAGCTATATATAGGTCATCAATGTATTCAATAAACAGTGTGGGAAAATTAATTCTTGTATGTCTTGACAAGGTTAGACACCAATTAATTCTAAATTAGACTTCTTTTATTATTCCTCTCTCATATTCTCTATTCCCTAGATCTGAAACGAGATCTCAACCACACCCGTAACAATTATCTCTGTCCAACCTTTCCTATTTAGTATGTTCCAATAAGTTTTGTTGAAGTATTTCTCATACTGGTAAAATATGAACTTATAAGGGGTACCTTATACAATATAAAGATATCAAGCTATATTAGGTTAACCTAGGATGTTACAACGAGTCTTAACATGATATTAGAGTCAAACTTATTCATAACTATAAGTGGGTCATTTATGAAAAATTAAAATGATTATGAAAATAAATGAAGACACTGTTGATAAAACGAAGAGACATCATTAATCTAGGATTTATTTTCCTTATTATTACTGTAATTATGTGTCTTTAGTGCTTCAGGTTGTATTTTAGCTGCTGTCTTTTTCAGTTCTCAATCATTTATGTTTAGTATTTAGACAGCGATTATGTTTACTGAAGGGGAATTTTGAGTTTGCACCCCACTTTTTGTGTGATATTGGACTTTGCACCCCATTTTCAAAACTTTTAGACTTTGCACCCTATCTACAACTTTTTGTGAAGAAAAATTCCTAGATGGGGTGCAAAGGCAAAGACATTTTAGGGAAAATAGGGTGTAAAGTCTAAAAGTTTTGAAAATGGGGTGCAAAGTCCAATATCACCCAAAAAGCGGGGTGCAAAGTCAAAATATCCCTTTACTGAATAGACACTCTCAGGCTTTTCTATCTGTATAAATAGCTTTTGTACTTCTTGTAAATGTATCATTGAAATATAATATACAGGTGCCCATCTGTATAAATAGTTTTTGTACTTCATGGTATCAGAGCTCGATCTCGTATCAGCCTACTAGGGTGTCTCTCCCTGCCTATCTGTTTAATTGTCTGGTGCCCATCTCTTCACCAACGGTTCTATCATGTCTAAGGAAACTGAATCAACCTCAAGTAACCTTGACCACTCAACCATCGTTTCAGCTGCTACTGCAGCCACGTTTGCTCTTCGAAACCAAAAATTTGATCTCCCTTCTATCCCGCCATCTTACCGTCTCAATGGCAGGAACTATCTTGGATGCTGGTTTACACTCCCCTACGTGACAAAGATCTTGAAGACTATCTCACTGTCTCTACCTCAGAAAGAGATATTGATACTGCTATTTGGGAGAAAACTAATGCCAACATACGTGTCTGGTTATGGGACTCTATGAATCCCAACATTAGCAGTACATGTTTATACATGGACTCGGCTAAAGAAATCTGGGATTTCATATAGCAGTCCTACTCCGTTGCTAAAGATGGTGCTTTTGTCTATGACTTATGGCTCAAAACAACGAATCTTAAGCAAGATTCACAATCTGTCACAGATTATGCAACTGACCTCCAACGACGATGGTCTGAACTTGACCAGTATCAAACAATGAAGTGGTCGAATGGTGCAGATGCAGCTCTTCACAAGAACTATATAAATCAGCAACGTCTATATTGCTTCTTGTCTGGTTTAAATCCCAAATATGATCAGACTCGTGGTCAAATTCTTGGCATTACTCCTCTGCCTTCCCTATCTTCTGCCATTGCCACTATCAAACATGAAGAGAGTAGACGCAATATAGTGATGAATACGAAGCTGATTGACCGTACAGCTCTTGCTGCCAAATCTACTCCTTCAGATGTTAAGGAAACTAAGGGTAGTAAGGGAGGAAGATGGTGTGATCATTGCAAGCGGTCCAACCATAATGTGGATAGTGGATACATGCTGGAAACTTTATCCTCATCTACAAAAAGAAAGAAAAGGCCAGGACAGATGTGGAACTAGTGCTGGACGTGCCAACTCAATCACTCCCACTATTGTTGAGAGCTCTACTAATCTTTCGCCCATTTCCCAGGAGGAATTACAGCAACTTCGTATGATGCCAGTCTCTTAATAACTCAAATGGTTCTGGTCATAACTCTTTGGCCCTGCAAGATAAAACCTCTACTATTTTTTGTCTTAATGCTTCGGAACAGAGTTCACAATCCCAATGGATATTAGACTCAGGTGCCACATCTTATATGACTGCCATACCCTCTTTACTCTCTAATTATCGTCCATGTTTTACATCCACACACATTACTACTGCTGATGGGACACCTACAGAGGTTGCGGGACTTGGTACGGTTGTTTTTTCTGAAAAATTAAATCTGAAAAACACCCTACATGTCCCAAACCTGGCTATGAACCTTGCTTCTATTTACAAACTCACTGTTGATCTTAATTGCGTTGCCGTTTTTTTCCCTTCCCACTGTTTATTACAGAATCTACGCACGGGGAGGACGATTGGAATTGTTAAACAAAGAGATGGCCTGTACTACCTTGTACTACCTTGATGCACTGTTTGTCTCCAAACCTCCACAAAAAGCTCTTACCTCAATCACAGCCAAAACCAACACTATTTGGCTTCACCACAAGCGACTTGGTCATCCCTCTTTTCATGTCCTACAAACCATATTTCCTAGTTTTTTAGTAGTGTTGATGTTTCTACATTTCAATGTGATGTCTGTGAACTTGCTAAACAGTCTCGTGTATCTTTTTCTAGAAGTAATACAATCAGTTGTTCTCCTTTTGATATTATACATAGTGATGTCAGGGCCCTGCTCCAATTGCTAATATATCTGGTGCCCGGTGGTATGTTACATTTATTGATGATTGTACACGTTTTTATGTGGGTTTTTCTGCTAAAAAACAAGAGTGAGGTGAGTTCCATCATTCACATCTTTTGCAATATGATTCATAATCAGTTCTCCGCCACTATAAAACGCTTCCGCACTGATAATGCTCTTGAATACTTCAATCAAACTGTTTCCTCTTATTTCCTCTCAAAAGGCATTGTTCATGAGTCCTCTTATCCATACACACCACAACAGAATGGCACAACAGAAAGAAAAAATCGCCATCTCCTTGAAGTCAGTCGGGCTTTATTGTTTCAATCAAATATGCCTAAACACTACTGGGGGAAGCCACACTCACATCATGTCATCTCATCAATAAAATTCTCAGTCGTGTACTCCAAAATAAGTCACCCCTTGAATCTCTCCGTCGCTTCTTTCCTCAAACCAGAATTTCTTCTGATCTTGATCTAAGAGTGTTTGGGTGTACTGCATTTGTTCATATTCCTCCACCTCATAGGGGAAAATTGGACCCACGATCTATTAAGTGTATCTTTCTAGGTTATTCTCCAACTCAGAAAGGATATAAGTGTTATAATCCTACAACAAGAAAGACAAACACCGGTGCAGATGTGACCTTTCACGAAGACACACCTTTTTACACTCCTGCTTCTCTCCCTGTATCCCAAGATACTCCACATCTTTCACCTCTTCCCACCTATACTATTACATCTTCTCCAACACACACAATCTCCTACCCTCCTAAGCCTTTATCACCAGACATCCCATCACCACCACCACCAGATGATCATCCATCACCTTCTTTAGATGTGTCAGCAACCTCACCTACTTCCCAACAGTCTTCAACATCACCTGAACCTCAATCAAATCCACCACCAGACCATCCCATTCCTACACCTACTAAATCCACCACTCATGACCCACCTTCTTCTCTACCAGTGACAAAAGTGTACTTAAGGAAAAACAGGTTCACTCCATTGTTGACGCATGACCAATTGGCTGACCCAGGTAATGTCTCTTCTTCTCCGCCAATTGCTTTACGCAAGGGTGTACGTCAATGTACCAAAACACCTCTATACCCTCTTGCTAATTTTGTTACCATCGATAACTTTTCTCTTTCACATGCCTTGTTTATTCAGAGACTTGATGAAATTCCCATACCCAACTTTGTTTCTGAGGCATTAGGAAAGAAAGAATGGAGGGATGCTATGCAAAAGGAAATTAGAGCTCTTGAAAAGAACCATACTTGGGATGTTGTGACTAAACCTCCTGGGAGGCATGTTGTTGGTTGCAAGTGGATCTTTACTGTCAAATACAAGGCTGATGGATCTCTTGAGCGGTACAAAGCTCAAATGGACTCACTATTCTTTTAGTATATGTGGATGACATCATTGTGACTGGTAATGATCCGGTTGAGAAACAACGTCTTAAGGGGCAGCTGAAATCCAAATTCGAGATGAAGTCTCTTGGCCCTCTAAAACACTTTCTTGGAATTGAAGTTGTTCTCTCATCTGAAGGCATCTTTATCAGCCAACAAAAGTTTATTACAAATTTGTTAAATGAGACTGGTAAGAGTGCTTGTTGACCGGTTAATGCACCTATGGATCCTAATCATAAGCTTGGACTTGCTACTGATGAACCCAAGGTTGATTCATCAATGTATCGGCACTTGTGTGGCAAACTTATCTCTCTCTCATACCAGACCTGACATTGTCTATGTGGTTAGTGTTTTGAGTCAGTTCATGCATGATCCAAAGAAACCACATACAGAAGCAGCCTATAGGGTTCTACACTACCTAAAATGAAGTCTAGGACAAGGGATAATATTCAGGAAGGGTGGGCAATTATCAGTCCAAGCCTTCACTGATGCAGATTATGGTGGCTCCCTCGTTGACCGCTGGTCAACTACTGATGTCTGTATTTTCCTGGCAGGAAGCCTCGTGACATGGAGAAGCAAAAAACAAAATGTTGTGGCACGATCATCTGCTGAATCTGAGCTAAGAGCCCTTGCCCATGGCTTGTGTGAACTTCTATGGATCAGAATTATTCTCTTAGATTTACGAATCAGGTGGAAAGGACCAATGGAATTGAGGTGTGATAACAAATCAGCAATCAACATAGCTCATAATGCAGTCCAACATGATCGGACCAAGCATATTGAGATTGATAGGCACTTCATCAAAGAAAAGGTTGAAAGAGGTCTGATTGAACTAAGTTACACTCCCTCAGAAGATCAAGTTGCATATGTGTTTACCAAACCTCTGCACAGTCCTAGGTTTCAAAGTCTTATTGTCAAACTAGGCATGACGGATATCTACAAACCTAGCTTGAGGGGGAGTGTTGATAAAACGAAGAGACATCATTAATCTAGGATTTATTTTCCTTATTATTACTGTAATTATGTGTCTTTAGTGCTTCAGGTTGTATTTAATAGATGTTGTCTTTTCAGTTCTCAATCATTTATGTTTAGTATTTAGACAGTCACCTAGGGTACTGAATAGACACTCTCAGGCTTTCTATCTGCATAAATACTTATTAAATAGCTTTTGTACTTCTTGTAAATGTATCATTGATATATAATATACAAAAAACTTCAGAGTTCATATGAGAGGGTGCTAAAGATTTCTCACATTGTTAAAATATGAACTAATAAACTGCAATATAAAGATATCTTACTACTCCTATTAGGTTATTCTTTTAAGATGGAACTCTGAGTCTTAACAAGTTTGACCCATACGGCCATACAATATATGGTAATACATGTGTGGTTCTAATTCATTCTTATTTCATTTCTATTTTACATATTAAGGTGAAGAAGATTACCTTCTTTTTTAGTGCTCTGATCTTTTTATCGATGTCTTGAAGATGATCCCCTGTCAATGATTCATTTGAATTTGATGGCGGATCCACCAGATTTGAAGAGACAGCGAGCTCATTCATACGTGCTGCAACAAATTCTACTTGATCTGACAAATGGTTGTGATTTAAAGAGGCAGATGAAACACCATCATTATCTTCAATATCATCTTCCTTCTCAAGAGCAGCCTGCCACATGTCACATTATGACGTTAAAGCATTTATTACATTGTCTGCATTGAGGGTGAACATGGTTTCTGTCCAGCCAGTTTTGGTCAAGGAATTGGAATATATAAAACAAATACAGATGAGTACATTTTTTTTGGGAAATCCACAACTTAGAGACGTTAAACGACACATAGCAAGAACGTTTCTATTTGAACATCAATTCACAACCCATGGAGAGATACTAAAAAGGAATACAATGGAGAGGTTAAGTTTGCACAAAAAATAGGCATTAAACAACACATAGCAAGAACAGTTCCGCCCGTGTGAGCGAACTGGACTGCTTAGAGATATCATGCAACGTTTGACAATGCTAGCCGTGAGGGCTTATGTGAAATATTATACTAGTATTAAACTAATGGAGGCCAATAATTTGTTTACTACGGAGAACGGAGTACTTTACTTTTTCTTCGTGAAGAATAATTGACTCATTAGTCATTACTTCAAATATAATAATATACGTAGTAATATACTACTCCCTTTGTCAGAAAACATAGTGTCATTTTCCAGGCTTATTATTGTCCCAGGTGGAGTGCTCGTTTCAATAAAAGAAGCTAATTTTCATTGAAACTAGTGTAAATTTTCTAGAAATGTTTCAAATAGGAAAAATATGTTACATTTAGTGAAATTAAAGTAAATGTGCAAATGTAGGACTGATAACTTACAAAAAATTATTTACCTTACCGAAATTGAAATGTGTCTGGGGGCGGTACAACTTAACTATGCAGAACACTTTTCATTTGTTATTGTATATATATTGTATTGTTACACATCACTTTGGCCGAGAAGTTTCAAATTTGAGGTTAACTGGAACCTCTGCAAATTGTAAGGCTTTATGAAGGATTGAAGGATATCTTATATCAATTTAGAATCCATAATTCCTGATATTGTAATTGAGAGTCTAAGAATCAAACAGGCATATATCTATGTTAATAATGATAAAAAGAACAAAACAAAAGTAAGAGAATTGTCAAGTACAACAAGTAGTGAACATTAAAGTTATGGATTTGACCTGCAGGCGCTTTTCCTTCTTCCTTTCATTCCTCTTAGCTGCTTTAGACTTGGCTTTTGGAGCATCCATCACAGGGTCATACCCAGGTGGCGTTTCCCGCAAAGCCGCCATTTCTTTTTTCCACTGCCATCACCAATAAAACAATAATGAACCCTCCTCCCTCACAAATTTGAAAGAAAGAAAAACAACCAACTTCAGTAGTATCACTATATATCGATATTAATACATAAATACTCCGTAATAAATACGTACGAGGGCGCCTTTGGATTGGTAAATGGCGACTTCCTCTTGGGGGCGATACCCAGCCCTAATACGAATGGGCTTGCGGAGAGTGCCGTCGGGCCTTCGGGTCGGGGCGATGATTCTCTCGCCTTCCTTTAGGGTTTCGGAGAGTTCAGCGGCTAACCGCTTGGCTTCTTCTTCCGATCCTCTATTTGCCGTGCTACTTGCCATTGAAGCCGATAGTTTTCCCCAAGCAGTCCGGCTTTACAACTACAGGTAAGTGATAACAACTACTCATGCTGTTTCATGGTAGTTTGGTGGACGTGAAAAGAATATCTAAGTTTTGGAATTAGATTAGTTCCTCCATATCACCAAGGGCTCCCACGTTCCTCCCATTTTTTTTAATCACGAATAGGCCACTGGTGGTGGGGAAAGCATCGGGTACACTTTCCAAATTTATTAAAAATATAAGAAGTTATAAAATGAAGTTCAACAAGAAAAATACAAATAAACGCGCAAAGATAAAGTCTAACAAATAAAATTTTCAAGCACCCCAACAGATGTTGCGAGTGAACGGTTGTACTTGTGGTGAAACTGGATGACCCTTTGTAGATAAGGAGGGTAAGTTTTTGCCTCCGGATGTGACGACTTATAACGTTTGAGTCCTGTTACAAGTTTTTGAGGCGAATCATAGTTTGAGTAGGTTGAGTAGACAAAATAGTTCTCTCCATCCTGAAGTGTTTTTTATTGACTTTTAGTCATCAGGTGATCCTCGGGAAACACCTCCAAGGTAACATGTTCCTTCAACTCCAAATCTTCTCTCTCTATCTCCTTTAGTTCTTTTTCATTGATCTCAACCTCCATGTTCTCCACTAAGGTTGCTGCCAATTTTTCTTGAACGGAGCCTTCATCATGGACAACCATCTTCATAGCCTCTAGGGCAACTAAATTATCATGGGCAGCTTCCATAATGAAAGTACGTCTTATACGCGTGCGCACCAGAGGTCCAGTCTAGCACGCAAAATTGTAATCTCCACACGGTCGCTCCTGGTTTCGAACCTTGGTCATTTCTTAAAATTTCTCACCGCTCAACCAATTAAGCTACCTCTACGGGTATTTGGAATTAAATTAGTAATTACTAAGAAGCTATTCATTGACCCTATATTCTGATTTGATTTTTTTTAATCAAATAACTTTTATTTAAAATTAAACAATAACGAGGTTACAATACTCTCATACTCTCAAGAGATTCGTCATTCCATCAGAACCAGACTCACAAACGGCTTGCCTAGTTAGCAGACGGGCAACCTGATCCACGAGTCTAAACAGAAACTTAACATTACACTTAGCAAAACTAGCTAACACATGCCTTATATCTTCAAAAATACCGTAATGAAAGAAATGTCATTCGAACTATGAATTCCTCAAACAACTAGTTGAACATCCAATTCTACAATAGTTTGGCTCCACTTCGTTTCCATAGCCCACGATACTGCCTCTCAACAAGCTAAAGCTTCGGTCATACTTGTTGTGAAATGCCCCAATATTCCCCTTCTTTGGCCAACTACAAAGTCCTCGTTTTCGCTCCTTGCCACCATGTCTAGCCCTCTCGTGTCTCCCTCAGTTTGGCATGCAATATTTGGCATGCAACATCAATATTAATCTTGATTCAACCTGGCGGTGGTGGTATCCACTTCCTTTCCTTCCCTTGCTATGTTGCTACGATCTGTTTCTATTGTGTCGCCATCCAACCCGCTAGAACACAACCGGTGCAAGCCACCACATCAATTCAATTGGATTTTATATGTTTCCAAACCTGCTCGTTTCAAAGGCCCCTACAAATCATCACAAAAGAGGACATTTCCTTCATATTACAGCTCCGACTACAACCCTCAGCCCAATCTCCAAAAGTCGTCATTGGCCCCTTCAAGAATTTCCTACTTTGAGTCTTTCACTCCTCCTTTGCAAGTGGACAGAAGCACAACACATGCATAGTGTTTTCATCCGATGAATCACAAGTGACGCGATTCAGTCATACTTGCACTCTTCGATGTAAAAGTGGTTCTTTCGTAGGCAGGCAATTAGTACAAGCCTACAAGAAAAAAATCTTCATCTTTGGTGGTATATTCAGTTTCAAGCTCCGGGTCCAAACCAGTGTACGAAAAAATTCAACCTTGTCGTAGAAACTACGGACATAAGATCTTCCTTGGGACTCATCTGCCCAAATGAAATCGTCATTTGGCCGTCATCCCTGAAGGGGAATACTCAGTTTTTTTGTGTTCTCTTCGCTAAACAAATCTACTAGGATGTCATCATCCCAAAATTTCCCATTAATTGACATAGTCGAATTGACCGTTATGTCAGCTAAATTGCTAGCCTCATTTGACGCCGGTCTGCCCCCTCTCTCCGTCGGGATCTAATTGTCTTTCCAAACTCGGAAAAATTCTCCTGAATCAATTTCATAAATCAGACCCTCTCGAACAGCAAGAATAGTAGCAAGAAACTTCTCCAAATTAAGGATGGATTACTTCTAACTTTTGCATCGAGAACGGTATCGTTTGCAGAATATCTGGCCTTTAGGAGCCTGTTAATCAACGAGTGAGCTTCCTTAATTAATCTCCATACTTGTTTTCCAAGCGTGGCTAAATTAGACTCTTGCAGTTTATGAAAACCCATACACCCGTGTTTTTGGTAGACATAAATCATCCCGATGTTTCCATCTCAAACTGTTACCCTTGAATGTTTGTCCCCTCCACCAATAAGCACTCATAATTCGCTCCATTTCATTGCAAGTACTTGTTGAAAGTAGAAACACGTTCACGGTGTACTGAGGCATAGCCTGTAAAACCGTTTTTAACATCACCTCTCGTCCTGCTTTGAATAAAATCGATTGTTTCAGTTGTGTATCCGTTGCACTGACTTCTCCTTAATATACACGAAAATTTCCTTCTTATTCATGCCCACAACTGACGATACACCCATATACTTGCCCCCACCTTTGTCCTCCGTGACCCTAAGCGGCCTACTCAAATAACCCATATCAATCCCAAACCACATTTGCACTCAAACGAACACTGGATTTGTCAAAATTGACAACCCCCCGAAAGCGATGAATACTTTGCTAATAAATCAACAATCACCATGAATTCATGATCCCTCTGAAAAACAAGAAATTATCATCAACAAAAAGAAGATGAGACACCATTGGTGCCTCTCAGCTAGCTATATGTCCTGAACGATATCATTGCTCTCCAAAGACCTAATTAGAGCACTAATTCCTTCCGCAATTAAAATAAAGAGATAGGGGATCCCCTGCCTTATTCCCCTCATAGGACAAAAAGAATCGATGGTTTCTCCATTGACTTGAATTCTGTAACGGACTGTAGTAACGCACTTCATCATAAGATTAATCAAGCGTCCATGAAATCTCAATTTCTCCAGAATCACCTTTAGATACCGCCATTCATCCTTATCATACGCTTTACTCATATGCTCCAAAACCCTCCTTATCATACGCTTTTCCTCTTTATATAATGTTTCACCTCAAACGCTGCTATGATGTTATCCACTATGATTCTCCGCAATAATACCATCCAAAAACCCTTTCATCCAGTTAGCAAGAAGCTTGGCAAAAAAAAAATTGAATGCAACATTGCATAAAGCTCTCGGGAGCCAATCTCCAATGCTGTGAGGCTGTCCATTTTTAGGAATTATAATGATATTTGTATCATTAAATTCCTCTAGAAATTGTTCCTTTTGAAAAGTATATACTCCAAACTAGGGGTGGAAACAGGCCAAGGCAGGCCAGGCTTTCGCCTAAACAGGCCGAGCCTGTTTTAGAATATATAGGCCTGAGCCTGGCCTGTTACCTGTTAAAGGCCTGTTTTTTTGGCTTGGGCCTGGCCTGAAGCCTGTTTACCGGGCCTGTTAAGAAAAAAAATAAAATTTCAAAAAAATACAAAATGAAAAGTGAAAAATCCTTTTAATCCGGTATAAAATTTAGGAAAAATTGATTGTAATAATCTCAACTATTGGCGGTCCGCTTATAATAATCCCAACTATCGATTATTTCAGAATAATCCCAACTTTAGGGTCCTTCCGCCAATAACAGTCCCTGTAAATAAATTCATGTACTTTCTGAAATGGATGAGAAGAGATATAGCAAGTAATCTCTATAAATAATCTCAACTTTGAATTTTTACGTTTAATTTCTATTTAAAATTCACTTTTATAGAAGGTAATATTTGGTCATGGACCATTATTGGCGGATGGTTCATATAGTTGGGATTATACAAAAATAATCAATAGTTGGGATTATTGTTAGCGGACCGACAATAGTTGAGATTATTATTTTCAATTTTTCCTAAAATTTATTACCCCAAATATTCACTAAAAAGTCTAATAATACGTTAGTTTTGCTTTGGATGTCTAATAATACATTATTATGGAGTATTATTATGTAGTTTATAAATTTCTATATACTTTGAATCTTGAAAAATTTTGAATTTCAATTACCTTAATAAACTATTAACACACTTTATATATATTTAAAAAAGTAGTCTATTCTAATTTATAATACACACTCCATAAAAATACTATTATACTGATTTGGATATAATTGAGTATACCAATATAAATATAAATAATACAAATAAATATAAATATAACTAAATATATATACATACATATAAATAGGCCGGCCTGTTAAGATAAAAAGGCTTTAGAGTTGGGCTAGGTCTGGCCTATTTAAATAAACGGGCTTTTAGAAAAGCCCAAGTCTAGCTTGATTACTAAACAGGTCAGGCCTTTAACAGGTCAGGCCACAGGCCCCTGACAGGCCGGCCGGCCTATTTCCACCCCTACTCCAAACATAACAATTTTCGGTCCCACCATATCCCAAAAATGTTAGAAAACACTTGGGTTTAACCCATCTGAACCCGTGCCCTATCTGGGTGCATGCTGAATGTATGGGTAGCTAGTTTTACCTCCTCAGTCGTGTTGTCTCTTAATAAAAGGGAATTTCAGACATCACTGATTTGGCCCCTAAAACTCTCTACCTCCCATTCTGCTACAGCATGCTACATGCAAACAACAACATGAAGTAACCCAATACCCATATCAAGCCATCTAATTCTTTTTTTCTCCACCACCCAAACTCCCAACACCGATAGAAGTCCCTTAGTCAAATTATGTCTTTTATGTTGTTTAACTGAGTTATGAAAAATACATGGTATTGACTATTGACATCACCTTATTGTAGCTGGGTCTTCTTTTCCCTTTGTTTCCAAAAGTCATTTTTGTTTTTCCAACAACATTAGATAACACTCCTTTGACTGGGTATAAGCTGCCAGCCTGCCACACCTGCCAAATCGGTCTTGTCCCGAGTCCTCTACATATGCCTTTTAAAGCCCTCAATCCGGCGTCT